AAGATCATAGTTTTTGTCTTTTCCGTGTTAACAGTTAGATGCCATTTTTTAGTGTATATCGATAAATTATCAAGGCAAGTTTGTAATCCTGTTTTTGATTCAGAAAGTATTACAAGATCGTCAGCATACATTATACAGTTAATAGGTGTGTTTTGTAGTTTGGGTGGGTCACATCTAGGTTTATTAAGGACATCTGGTAAATCGTTTATGAAAATGTTGAATAGGGTTGGGCTTAAGTTACAGCCCTGTTTTACTCCCACCCTTGAAGTGAAGTGTTCAGTTAATCCTTCTTTGCTCTTAACTGCATTGATATACACATGAGTTTCAGTGTTACAGCAATCACTGTCATACTGTGACAGTTTGAATTACACAGGACTTAGTTAGATTATGCAAATATTACACTCATAAACTTACATATCTTGCAACAATCTGTTTAATGTACAATTCTTCCACTTCACTGTTCAACTGACCAAAATCCCAAACTAGTGGCAGCATACTGGGAGGCAGGGCCTGCACTCTGTATACAAGTTGTCTGAGGGGTATACGTCCTATTGTTGGAAAAAATAAACACACTCAGATTAGTGCAACTGGCAAACAACGGAATTTCACATTATTTAATCAAAGAAACTCAACAAGTTATATCTTTTTGTGAATCAAAGCAAATTAGAGAAAGGAAAGAGTTTAACAAGAAATTTGAAGTGGATAACATATTCCAATGCAAGTAGATGATGATTCCTACTTTGTAACTCACCTAGTCTATCATCAGTTTTTTCAGCTCTGATATGGTAGCCTAATCCTGCCATTTCAAGCCTCTCAATCATATCTCTTGTGTGCCTAGGAAGTGATTATGTAGATTTTACATACATGTACTTTATTAATAATTACGCGAATAGACAAATTTGTGAGTTATGAATAAATGAATAATGTAAGCTGCTAAATATGATAAACAAATATGAGAGAAACAGAAATTACTATTATTAGTCACCTTCTGTATGGGTTACAAGCTGCAATGATCTTCAAAGCATTACTTCCATGTGTAAGTGGTTTACCATTCATTCTCTGATCACACATGACTTCCTTGATCAGACCAATTGCTTCTGTAGTGTTGGCTTCATCAAAGAACAGTACAGTATCAACATTATGTCGTGTTTTATTAAGCCAAGCCAATCTCTCACTTTCTTTGACTTTTTTTAAAATGTCATTGGCTGTTGTTCCACCATGAACCTGAAAATATATTAATTTTTATTATATTTAATAGTATCAAATAAAATTTACTCAAAGGAATGCTCTTAGAAACTTATTAAAAATATTGTTAATTACATCAGAATAAGAATGTATGAACTGCAGCACAATGCTTTTGCGATCCAAAATGCAGACACATATTGTATGATTATAACAAAACTATCAAATATAAGTTGACAGATTAAGCAAGTTGAGACCAAACCCAATTAAAATAATTATTTTGAACGCTGTAGATAGTATCAGTTCAAGTTTACACAAACCCTAAATATTAATTGGTTGATCACAAGAAATATAAAGACATACTTTCATCAAAACCATATTCTTTGGTCCATCACTGCAACAGCTCCTGCTTGTAATGACACATGAATCTGATGAGTCTTGTCTTACCACATCCAGTCTCTCCCATAATAATAACAGGAATACCACACCTGAGAGCAAAGGATACTTAGTCAAAAACAATACATTTACTTGGGTTTTATAAAGCAAAACTGACATTAAAATGACATTATTAAAAGAAAGAAACAAGTAATGCACTGAGTAGGGTGTATATATTCTGAAGTCACAAATACTAATTTAAAACTAATGTCATTACGTAAAATAAACTTACCTGAATCTCATATGTATGGCCAATATTTTCTTGACATTATCAGTTGTTAGTTCATATGTTTCATCAGGATCAAAAGCCCACTCAATTCCCATCACTTGACATAATTGATTGATCTTATCATCTCTGTAATTAAAGAGCACTATCAGTTGTTATTTTGTACAAGTCATCAGAATCAAAAAGCTGTAAATAGTTGCACACTTAGTTGTAACAAACACATTTAAATTATTATCTGAGCATTATTAAATTTCCATTAATGTTACAGTGAAAACTTTACTGGTTCTTCAATTGTGACATTTAGTTTTAACAAACACTTATTATTAAACAAATTTATTGAACTCACCTTGTAAGGTCATCAAACCTGACTTTCAAATTAACTCCCTGCATCTCCAAACCTCTCTTAACCTCTCTGGTCATAATGCTTGGCTCTATGATTTGATTGTTACTTGGGTCGACCAGTGAACCATTTTGATCAATAACAAATCCAAGAAACGTCATTGAGACATGGTCATTGTTGAAGAAGATATATGGATGAGGACTGAAAAAATAAGAAGGGTCAATAGAAATGTATATAAGAATCATTATTAAACCTATCTGCCTATAAACTGATGCTATAAGCTGTTCATGTTAACTTCAGTTTTTAGCTCCGCTGTTGACAAAATCAAACAGAGCTAATCATATTACTGATTGTACGTCCAAGTTAACTTTTTACATTTTTGATTATTTCTTAAAAACCGCATGCCCGATTACCTCAGGTGGACCTCTCTCAGGTTTGTTCATTTTCTAATGATATCTTCAATTATCTAATTGAAATGTGCATTGCTAATAGCAGAGCTGTCTCAGCTGACAGGCTGCTTGTTCATTTATATACTTTTGTATACAATTTGTACCTGCTCTCCCATCGTCTTCTTAGTTGGTAGGCAGCAATATCATCATCAGTATCATCATCATCATTATCCATGTCAATTTGTAAACATGCTGTACTCTCATCTGACATTTGTAATGATGGAGTAGCAAAATCCTGACACAAAGATGAGAATTATTAATTCATTTAACCTTTTTCATTATTCATTGCAATGTTATAATTACATTCCACATAATATTTCACAATATAGCATTGCAGGAAACTTAACGTGTAATCTTGAACTCATGTTGAGTAACTATATTCATGAAATTAGAGAAATATTAATGTCAATTTTCATATTTTGTTAATTTTATAGATATACTGAATAAACAAAAGAACAAGAAACATGTATTAATTTTATACATCATAAACATGAAGACAATCTGGATCCTGAATGTTAATGCTCACCTTTGACATTCGAACCATGAACTTGACAACAAAACTCTTGAAGCCATTCAAACTAGCATCACCAACAAGCATTGGATTACAGAATACAGAACTTTCACAATCGTTGAGTTGTTCATTAAGAAACCATACAAAGTATCGTAGCTCAGCCCAAGATGGATCAAGAACACCACAATGTCTACAATGAAAATAAGTTTAACCGAGTGCTTATAATCGGACACATATCAATAAGTAAACTATTCAGTTATCGATGAGACATATGTTTGTTTTGCTTTTTATGATTATTTAGCTTTGACTTCATGTTACATCAAGCAAGAGTAAAAGTAGGGTGATGTCACATCCATTTTATTTTATTGGATATTATATCTCAAAAAATCAAAATTGTGTAAATGTTAGGATATACAATACACTACAAAATTAACAGTGACACAGTGCGTATCATAGGCATATAATACATCAATGTGTTGGAGATTTTATGAAACTAACTTTACACGTCTATGAATATAGGTTTATTACGAGGATACCTCAAAGTATGCACGAAGACAGTACAGCGGGAGCATCGGCCGACGTGCAGCGGAGTTCATATTTCAAGGTATCTTTGTAGTAACCTTATTATTATTATAATACATCTTTGCCTTCCAAGGATACATCATGTAAATGTCGAAATCCAAAAAGTTTAGAACAAAATTTTAAAACAAAATCCTTAGAACAAACTTCTTTATGTGGAGTCAGGTTAAACCCTGGTGGCAGCCATGTTTGTTTTTATTATTAGAGGATGCTTACGCATGTAATCATTCCATATTTGGAATTCGCATTTCCTTCTATGGTAGGATGAAAATACCCTGTAAAATACCGCAAAATTACGGCGCGTTGTAACTTGGCGATATGGTGACAGATGAATAATAATAAATGATAATATACACCTACCTAAGTAATACAGGTAGACATGTGGCATGGTTGTCTTCAATGGTACCTTCTTCATAGTCATAGTAATCCAGGTTTGCACCTTTAGAATGTCGTTTCAAGTACTGATATGCTCTCTGATATGCATTACTAGTAAATTCCAGATTATCCATCAGTGGATCATTGATAGTCATTGCTGCAATGAACATGAACAATATGAGCCTCCTAATACTGGGCTTGATGATATGACAGTATGCATAAAGGCAGTAAGGCGGCAGTATCAACTGACGCGTTTGGGAAGTTGATGTGCGGCCATACTGCTTGAGTGCATATGGTATGCTTGTAATAACCTTATTATTAACATCTTTTTCATGCTTGTAGTATTAATATTATGAGAGAATATAAGCCGAAATGGCAACGAAAAATGTTTGCTTTCAATTTCTGTTGTGCAATATATAACTTCTGTGTACAATGTAAAGAAGCTGATTCAGAAGTGTTTGAAAGTAATCAAGGATGAGAATTTTCCTCGGATGCATGGATTTCTAAGCCGCAAGGGTTGATTTTCTGAAACGTTTAAATCCGAAGAAAAATTTTTAGGGGGGGGGGACAGATCTTGTTTATTCACCAAAAGTAAACACGCTGTCTGGTATTGTTTCAATTGTTAGCTGCGCTAGACCGTTGTTTACAAGTTTCATGCTACGATAATGGTGAAATTGATTACAAAAGACAACGAGTCAGCCGTGCAAGAGATCGATAAAGACGTGAGGCACAATTCGTTGGGCATTGCTTGACAAGGAAGTGACTTTGACCGTGTGAATTGGGAAGAAAGATGAAGTGGTAACTGGTGACCCCGGCTACTTTACTTTCAGCTGAAAATTAAAATTCTCATTCTCATCCCTGAGTAATGTCAACAAAATTGATGATGTAGTTTACCCCGATATGAAAAACAATTGCCAAACATTTTGGAATGAGTGCTGGTACAGCTTTTTACAAGACAGCACATTTTATTGTTTTTGTTGCTAGATGTATACACAAAATCGATCTAGTACATCTTACTTGTACACAAAAAGTTAGAAATTCAACAAAGTATATCATAGAACCACTCATTATCCAACTCAAACCCGTTTCAAAAATGATTTATCAATCAAAATCTACCACTCATTTTAGTCATTGAATTAGAAAGACGTATTAAAAACCTAGTTCTTCACTGTGTTCCATGCTTGATTCCAATTCTAGAGTATCCCTTGGTGATCTACATGTTCTAGTAGGCAGCAACGTATAAAACTGGTGGTCATAAAAAACCTGGAGCAGCGAAAAAACAGTCAGTCATTTATACTTTGTGAATTAGAAAATTACCAGGGGATGAAACACTGATGATATGGCGCCTATTAAACAAGTTATTTCTTAACCTGGGCCAGGATGTTACATAGTCCAGGGAAAAAAAAACAAAAACATATTAGTTTTTGATTGACAGGCACATCATCCATTGCCGCTGGGTTTTTTTCAATTCATTTTTGCTGTCAGTGGAGGTTTACAATAAGGGATGTGTTAATTCAAAATGGCTGACAGAGAAGGGCATTACCACTTAAGAGAATTTTTTATTAATAATATATAAGAAATTGTAATCGTAATTATTTCTTTTTTGTAAGACATCATACAGTAACTGCGAAATTAAAAAAAAAAAAGTTTCATAATTGACCAATATTCATACCTTTGTTTCTGGTCGTCCTGTGGGGACAGCAGCCTCAGCAGTATTTGCTGTCTGAGAGGGCGCTGTAACTTCAATCATGTATAAATCCCATGGGTAACGCCTCCATACACGGCCATGAGTGTCAGTTATACCACCAAGTACCAGTAGATTGAATAACAGATTGTCAACACCTTGTTGAACCTATAACATGTTAATGGTACATCACCTAGATTATTTTAAAAAGATGTGGATATCTGCATTCTGAAGAAACCCACATTCAATGCAATGTAACTTGTATTATAGTAAAAGGCACAAAACTTTAATAAAATTTAATATAATGCTCATGAATCTTAGCCCAAATTGAAACTGCACATAAAGTGGAAATAACATACCCAACCAAAGATTATTCAACACAAGTTTTATAGAGTCCAAAAACACAAAACTAATGTTTGACAATAATTTAACATACTTAAAAATTTTAGGTTTATAAGGAATTAGAACAATAGATACTCACAGCGGGAGTTATGTCCAGGTGGAATATCTTTGGGTCTGGACGTACAGGTTTAGTGATGTAATCACCTAACACAGACACAATAGCATTCACATCAACTTTCTTCTCAGCCAAAGGAACAGTAACACAAGCATCTTTCATTGGTTTATGAACTTCAATCAACCTTTCTGTTAATCTTCTCACTGCCAAAGATTTACCAACACCGGCTCTCTCTGATATTAAAACTTGCACACAGCATCTGACAAACAGAA